CCCCAAAACCCCAAAACCCCAAAACCCCGAGCTAGATACTATGAGTTGAGTAGAATGTAAATGTAAAGTAATTATTTGAGGTACTCTTTGATGCTTTCCCCAGTCATTGATTCAATCTTTTGCACAATATTTCTTGCTGTGGTTTCAACATCCTCATTGGCATCCTCAAGAGCCTCTGAGATGTACGGGAATACATCAGAAAGCAAGGTCAGGAATCTCTCTTCGAGCTTGTATACCAAAGCTTCTGTGATTTTAAGAGAGGCAAGTCTCACTATTGGTAGACTATGTTTGGATTTTTGAAGGAGGTCATCAAGGAAATTCTTGGTGATTTCCTGGTTATCTAAGGAATCTAGTACATCAACAATGACTTTCTGGTATTTATTCTTGATCCATGCAATATATTGCTCTTTGTCCATGGCTCCTTTAGCAATATAGAAGTCCATAATATGAAGGAAACTGGCACTGATCTTGTCAAAGTATTCTGAAGGAATAGTACTTTCAGTGTCAAAATAATAATTGAGTCTGATTGTCTCAAGCAGAGTATCGATGACCATGATTAAGCTCAATCTGGTATTATCTGGACTGTTAAAATCGGGCATGAACATTATCAGTGAGTTCGAATGATTATCCTCCAAAGCTTCTTCCAGAAGTTCAGTCATGATGTTGATGTAGTAAGATAGATAGGATGGAAAGATTGACATCAAAGTCTCAAGAAGACAATTTATAGTCTTGAAGAATATGAAGAGCCTGTCAAGGTCGTTAAGAGGTTTACTGTTCTTAGGTCCAATAGGCTTGCAAGCCCATTTCACTAATTTAGTGAACAGTGGCTTAAGCTGGACTTCGTTGAGTTTTAATATAAATGTCTTAAAAGCTCCCAAAACTGAATTATGAATACCTGAAACATCTGTTAAGGCTGTGTGAGTGTTCTTCTCCCAAGTTTGAGGAATAAGGAAAGCTTTATGGAAGAACTTGGAAATTCCTTCATGATATTCTTCAATAAACTCCTTCTTCAAATTTCTGAATACTTTACTAATACTCATGAAATATCTTGAAGTATAAACATTGAGTCTCTGCTCAGTGGTGTTATACTTCTCAGGCTTTGTACAGATAAATTCAAAGATATTAAACTGAGCATGCAATGAGATCTGAGGAGTGATGTGCTTAGCCACCAAGGATGAGATCAGATCAATCTGGGAATTAATTGGAGAATCTCCAATTCCCTTATTCTCTGGGATGGAGAAAAACACTTCCAATATCTCAGAGAGTTGTTCTGGAGTTAACAACTGGTTGAACACTGTTTTCAGTAAGATAATGTAAGAATCTAGGATGCTAACAATTACTGAACTGGCATAGTAATCATTCTCCTCTGAGCCTCCTGGTAAGACCCTTCTGATGTACTTCAGGCTCAGATTAATAAGGATTTCGTTGACGAGATCTTCCTTGAGCTGGTAAAGATCAACCTTGTACAGATCAAAAGCAGATGTAACGAACATTATTGCAGAGCAACAGAGCATTGTGTTAGTTCCATGCTGAGCAATTACAAACACTTGAGGCAAAATAAGGGTCTGAATTTCTTCCTGATTTTTGAAACTCAAAATCTTCTGTAACAAGAGCAAGATGCTTTGAAGATAAGTTTGAATTTCCTTAGATTTGTGATTTCTCGAATAAGTTTCAAGAATTTCACTAGTTCTCTTGATAAGGTCCTTGAATTGGCCTATTTGGGAATTAGAAATTAAATTTTACTGTGAAGCTGGGAGTCAACACGATGGTTATCAATGTATTTGGTCTTTTCTTGCCCTCCTTCGATAGCTTCATGGAGATCTGAGCTGATATTGTGAACTCCTCTCATAACAACCTCGCTAAGAGTGTTCATACTTCTTGTTTTGAGAAGGATGAGTTTGTCACTGTAGCCAATGATGTTTGTAACAACAGGGACATAAAGTTTTAAAGGAATAAGTGTTGATACAAAATCTTGGTTGAATTTTCTGTAACCTTCAACTAATCTTTCAACGCTCTTTGTCACTTTCTTAAGAGCTTTCTTTTCTTTCTTAGCATTCATTTCGTCCAAAATTGTGCTCTTTTTATCCTTTTTGTGATCTATAGATTATGGGTTTGAGATTACCGCTGATTAAGTGAAGCTGATGTTCAATCAATGTAGTTCCAAAATCAAAAGCAAGGATAAGATTCGTCACCTCATGTACAACTTCTTCAGTAATCTCTCCTTCGACACAGTTATGGAAATATCTGACCAATGGGTGTCTGTCCTCTCCGTATTTTTCTGTATGGCCTTGCTGGGGTAAGATGTCTTCAAGAAGAACCAGGAATAGGTATTTTAGCTTAGTCAAACTTCTTTGATCCTTAATAGTTCCTTCTAACCATTCAGAATCAACCAAGATTTGATTGGTAAACTCTTTGTCAAAGAGATGCTCTGTCTTTTTATCCACAAATTCTTTACTCTAAACCAATTGAAACCAGTTATTTCAAAGAACCCTCCCTTTAAACTAAAATTACCTTCTGATGCAATTCAGACATGACAAATGTTGACAAGTGATTGATCACCATGATTGTGTTGGTCAAGATTGGAATACAACTCTCATGATTCATCATTTTGTACAAGATCTTTTGAGCGAGGATGAACTCTTCGTTCTCAATCTCGAAGATTTTAGCAGAAGTCTCTTTAGGATGGAAGGCGATTTTAGGGTTGTTGGAGATAAGTTTGAGGAGAAGAGTGATGGTGAGGCTAGAGGGTTAGGTGGGGAGGTACCTGTAGAGTTTGGATTGGAAGTTTGAAGGGACTTTTTGGATCATTGTGGTGAGGAGAGAGGTTTTGGAAAGGAGGGATTCGGAGTAGGTGGAAATGTCGTGGAGGTAGATTTCCAAGCCTAGAGGGGTGAGATAAGGGGGGTACTTTTGTTTGTGTATTTGTTGTGCTCTTGAGAGAGTTTTTCAGTGGATTTGGAGAGGGATCCAAGTACAATACGAGTGAAAGCAGCGCTTTGTAAGGTCAGAAGTTTACGGAGGTTTGATTTAGTGACTTCTATGAGATAACCGTCCTCTCCGTCGGTTTCTTTGACAATTTCTAATGAGCTTGAGATGCTAGTGTAAATTTTTCTGGTTAAAGATTTGCTGTCGATGTCTACTTTAGACTGAAGCCCTGAAATTAGTAAAAGTAGGTTTGAGAGTCCTTGATATAAAATAATATCATTTTGGGGTTTAGAGTCCTCCTCTTCATCTTCAATTCCTTTCTCTTCTCTTTCCTTCTGTGCGGATGTCATGAGAGAATCTTTTGCTAAGAATTCTTCTACGGGATCAATCATGTTTTCTGGCTCTTTTATCTTTGAATTCTCTTGGTAAACTTCAGTAAGATCAGCTAGGAGAGTGACGAATAGGGAAACAAGTTGCTTAATGAATTCGTTGACTTGTTGTTTGCTTTCTTCATCCAGAACTTCTGGGATATATTTAGGATTATCTATAGTTTAATAAGACAGCACTTACCAATTGTGCTCTGAGTTAAGTTGATTAAAACCACAAGGATCTGGATGGGATCTGATTTTTCCCTGTCATCTGCACTTACTCCCATCTCTGAGATAACTTCTCCAAGTTTATGGATTAATGAGATCAGATGGGGTAGATTTGATGGGCTAAGGGAGACTGACTGTAAGCTTTCAAATACAAGACTCATTTTTGAGAAATTTTCTGGTTCATAACAGATTGTTTTAGTCATTTCTTTTTCTTTCTTTGTCAGGATGATAGGATAAAAAGCTTCTGGAAGAGACTCTAGGAGAGTAATTACTTGCAAGCGAAGGTAGAAATCAGGCGATTCTGGGTTTTTAATGCAATTATGAAGCACTTCAATAACAGAGTCTAACTTTTGCAGAGCAAATTCTGATCCCTCTTGATTGTCTTGTTTCTGAGCAGCTTGAGTAGTGATTTCAACCAATTTCTTATTTGCTTTGAGAATATGCTGGCTTGGTAAATCAAAGATCTTGCTATTGTATTGGTCGAGGATTCCACAAAGGCTGTCATGGACTTGGTCAAGGATCTCATTTTGGTCAGTATTTTGGAAACAAAGTATGTCAATAAGATTTGGCATGTACTGGAAAGTCATTTCTTTTGACAAAATAGATGATTTGAACTCTATCGATACCAAAACATTACAGAAATCTTCCATTTGCTTTGGGCTGAATCTCTGGTTCTTCAAGAATTGAATGTAGCTTCCCAACTCAAATGGAGTTCTTGATGTGGAGATAGCATACAGAAGATAATCAAATAGAACTGGGAGCCTTCCTGTGTCTATTATGTTTTGGATAGATCCTGATTCTGTCATAATTTCTGTCTCATGATGATTGGCAACATCTTCAATGAATTCTTCTAACTTATCGAGAGATTTTCCTTTCTTAATAGAGAAAGTCTTACTTTTATTCACCAAGAAAGAGAATATCGAGGTTGGATTTTTGGGATCCTTTTTAAGCACTTTAGAGAAACTTTCATAATTTTCGTAGATTTTCATGATGCTTAGAGAAATTCTTCTGCAATCAGAGTTTTCATCACTGAGAGCTACCAAGAATGTAGGAAAATAGTTCTCCAATATAGCAGTTCTCTGATTCAGGTCAGAAGAATGATCAAGGACCCGTTTGACGAAAGCGAGGGATGAAACCCTGATTTCATGGCTTTCCTTACTTTCATGGTACAGCACAGTGAAATAGTCAATTATGGAGAGTAAGTCACAATTGAGATGCTTGATGCAGATAGTTTCAAAGATCGTAGGGATCAACTGAGAGTTTACTTTCATTGATTGGGTCAATACATCGCTAACACTCAGTCTCTCTTTGACCTTTCTGTCTGTATTGCTCAGAGATGGCAGCTTGCCCAAGAACAAGGACACAATATTCTTCACCTTTTCTGGGTTATATCTGAGCTTATTACTCTTGAGAGTGTCTAGTAAGGACAAGCAACTAAGGAATGGGTCAGTTTGAGCCTTTTTAAGAATGTTGTTAAAGAAGGCTTCAAAGGTAGTCCAGATTTTCCCTTCCAATAGATTTGAAATGTCAGGTCTAGTGATAAGAATTTTAAGGAGTTCAAGTCCTTGATTAAGACTGATACTGTCATCTTTAATATCTTGATCTTTTGTTACATATTTCTTAAATCTAGAGTCAACAAGTAACTTTCTTGAGTCCTCATAAAGATTGCAAAGGACATAGATGATGATTTGAAGGTTTTCAAATTCAGGGTTCTGTAACTGCATGAATAGATTTACTCCTCTCATATAAGTGTCCAATGAGTACTGCCTATCTAGCAAAAACTCTTTTGGAATAAAATGTGAGGACAAGGTGTTGTATAACTGTTTAATCAATTGAGAGGACAGCTTTTCATTTTCAAGCAACTTTTCCAGGATAGAGAAGGTCACAATCAGGATATCTTGAGATTGTCTATCTTCGATGAACTGGATCAACATTGAGATGATCATTCTCGAATCTTTGCCTTCATATATATCATTTTGTTGAACCCATTGTTGGTACAGTTGCAACAAAGCTGCCTTCTTAACTTGATCTTTTCTGTGATACAAAGCAAGTAAAACTGGGATAGATTCTTTTTTAGAAGACCCTGTTTCAATAGACACGACCTTTTTCTTGAATTTTCCAAGTTGCTCGAGTTCAATATCTTCAATTTTCTCAAGAATCTTGTGTTTTTCACTTCTTCCTTGTAAAAGTTGATTTAGAACCTGGACATAGGTAAAGCTATCCTTGTTTTCAAGATAGTCGAGAATCAGCACTGAAAATTTAGCCTGCTTCTCTCCTTTACATTCAGGAAGGTGATCTGCAATGATTGCAAAGAGATATGACATTACTATCTTGTACTCTTGCTGGTTGGGGTTCAGAGTAGCAAGAATTTTGATCATATTTCTTGAGCTCTCTTCTCCTTCTTGTCCATTTCTAGTATAGAACTCCATGCATTTGTACAACAAAGGTGAGAGGTCTGATTCAGAGTTGTTTCTAAAGATTAGAGCTTTTGCTTACCTCAGGAAAGTGATGAATTCAATTTGATGAGTGAGTAGGTCTCCGATCCATTTATAAGAGCTTACTATGAGTTATAGACTGAAGAAGCTTACATTCTTCTTGGTTTATATCTTCATTTGTCTGATCGATTTGGTATTTTGAAGTGTTTGAATTGTAGCTATACATGCTTAATCTTTCATTGAGTCTCTCAATTATTTGTTGTGCATCAAGGATTCTTAAGCAAGTTTTGCAGCACAAGTTGTAGTAATCAACATCATCACTGGAGTTGATTGAGTATGAAGCTGACTTGCAGATTTCTGTAAGGAAAGCATTCATGTATTGTTCAGAGAAGGGGATCTTTTTCTCAACCATGGAGACATCTAGGCTTCCTAAAATAGCAGTCAGAGCACCTATTTGAAGCTCTTTGATCTTGCTATCTAAAGCCTTGGCAATGTAAGGAATAAGAACATATAGGAAAGAGTCAGACCTGCTAGCTTGTTCATTAGTAATGATCTTGAATACTAGAGTTCCCCAGAATCTGAAATGAGGGATGTGTTCTGTAGAGTCTTTGATAGAAAGATCTGCAAGATGAGATGTGAGAACTCCTGCCTGTTCATTCTCTGCACTGGTCAAGTAGAGTGATTGCTCATCTTGAAGAGTTAGGAACTTGAAAGTAATATCTGAGAAATTCTTGAGGTATGCTCCATTCTCCCTTGCCATAAACTTAACAAGGGCCTCTTGTCTTAAGATCACTCCTTTAGAGACAAATGGTTGGAAAAATGACAGCATGTAATCGTTTTTAAGCTCCATTCATTTAAGAAGTCTGAGAAATTGCGGAGTGTCGTAGAAAGGGAGGAATGAGAAGAATAAGTGAAGCTTATGGTGAGCATGAACTTCATAAATCCTAATCAAAAACTCGAGAATCTTGTAAGTCGGGTTCTTTAAGAAGTATGGTGACAATATCGTAATAATATGGCTGATCTTAGTGTCTATCAATTCGAGTGTTTCTTTATTCTGGCCTCCCCTGTAAAAGTCTTTTGAAGTTTCATCGAATATATCTTCTCTGTATTGATCTAGTTGGTTCTTTACTTGTGGGAAATCAGTGGATAGCTCATCAAGTCCTTTAATGCAGAGAGTGTAGATAACCTCCTCATCTACTTTATAAGCCTCCTTGAAGTCGAATAAGAAGGATACTCTTGCCTTAGATGATATTACTGGAGCGTCCTTTTGGGAGGACTTTAATCCTTGCAATTGGCGTGCTAATGCAGTTGACATTTTATTTTTATAAAATTAAAACACTCCTATTTCTTTTCAATGCCAGAAGGATACTGGGGTTTTGGGGTTTTGGGGTTTTGGGG